CGCCTCCTGGGCATACAAACATGCCAGGCATGATTTTGAAGCCAGAGGTCTGAGATTCAAACCATAGTCGGCCACATGGGAATCCAGCAACGTAACCACTATGCCATCAGCTGGCCCCATTTCTAAAAATGTTTGCACTTCCGTAGAAAGGGGAGGAGGAGCTGTGTTCTTCCTGTCAGGTTGTAAATACAATCTTTTCCATTGCATATTTGAATTTGAGAAAGCTGTGCTTACTCATCACAGATAAGCCCTATTTCTATTTTTATGTTGTAGATTAGGCTTAATAAAACCTAAAAGGAAAATATACCCTTAACTCTCAGCATGGAAGCATGCATAAATTCTTAATGCAGACAGCCCCTCTTTCCACTTGGGAATTCCCATTTAAAGGTGATTCCTGTTGTGAATTGTACAGAAATGCATTACAGAAGATCCAACTGCCTCCCGGGTTTTCGAGAGTCCACAACATTACTGTCACCCGTATGCAGCACCGTGCCATACTCCGACCTCTAGAAGCTTCTTATCCTGCCGAACTGCACCTTTGTACCCATTACAGCAGCGCCCATTTCCCTCTCCCACCAGCCTCTGGCAGCAACCACTATGGGTTTGACTAGACACTTCATGTACACAGAATCATGAGGCCTCTGTCCTTCTGTACTGGCTTGCTTTTTAGCACAGTGTCATCCAAGTTCCTGTCACAGCACACTACGGAAGTCCCTCTTTCGGGAAGGCTGCATAATACTTCGTTGGGTGTGCCATGCTTTCTTCACCCAGTGATGAGTACTCGGGTTGCTCCCACGTCCTGGCTATTGTGAAAATGCTGCAGTGGACACAGGAGTTCAGATGCCTCTTCAGGACCATGCTTCCCATTCTTTTGGATAAATGCCCAGAAATAGGGTCACTTGCAAGGAAGTGACGCCCTAGATACAAACTTGTCAGTCTGCCTCCGAACCTACATGCATAGCCACTATACTAAACTGTCTTTATCTTAACAAAGCAAAATAAGAGCAGGTTCTCACTTGTAAGACAACTACAGTCTTACAACAGTACAGCAGCCAGCAGACTTTCTGTGAAGGGTCAGAGAAGCAATATTTCCAGCTTGGCGACTGTGCCATTTCTGTTGTAACCAGTGAGCTTTCCACAGGGACGTGCAAACAACCGTAGACAGTGCACACATCAGCGCCTGTGCTCAGAGAGCCTGGGTGTCTGGAAACTGGCTGGATTCGGCCCCTGAGTCCTACTCTGAGACCTCTAGTCTGGAATCGATGGCACTTACCAGACTCAAACATGCATGTATTCATGCAAGTCTTATTAAGAAGCAAGTAGTCCTATGTGGAGGCCTGTCCAAGTACGCGTGCTGTGCTGGGAAGACGTCCATGGTGGGGCTGGCCCACTCTGCTGTCGGGGAGCGAAGGAGACCCCACTCAGCCAGGCTCCCTGGGAAGTCTCCCACCTCGCACCTGCTGCGCAGCTCTGTCCACGTGTGCTGAGCAGGATATTTCTCAGAACACAGAGGCAGAGGCTGGCCAGCTCTGCTGGACATGAAAGAGGACGGAAGCCAGGGGAAGAATGGGAAGGGAGGAAGGGAAATCATCAAGCTTTGCTAGTGGGAGGCCCAACTGGGCAAGACCTGCCACAGTGGTGCCTCTGCTTGCTCTCCACCACAAGTGCCCCAACTCCCAAGGCGTGGCTGTTGCAGTGCCTCCTGGACAGCAGAATGAATCCACTGACGGTGACCTCTGGCTCGGAAATCAACGCTCCTCTGGGGCCTGATGGATGAGGGCGGCTGTGACACACACACCTGGGTTTCTCAGGAGAGGCAGGGAGGGGGATGCCCAAGCGTGACCACATCCTGAGAATACCTGCTATTCTGATCTCAAAAGACAGCACAGGCTGTTTAAAAAACTGAACCAAACAGAACCCCCGGAGGACGGTTGAGCGTCACTCAAGAGACAAATAGGATGGTCAGAACCATTTCCTGCTGTGACTCCAGCAGCTGCCGAGGGAGGGGAACCAGGCACGAAGTCGCCCAAGTCACTGTGACAGACACTGCTGCCCTTACTCCCAGACCTGCTAGCCTTCTAGCCTCTTCACCACCTCTCACCTGCCCTGCTCTGCAAGTAGGGCGCCCTCACCTGCCTCTCAGAAGAGGCGCTGTCAAGTCAGGACGGTGCAGAGAACTGAGCACTGCGCCTGGCTGTGACGCCTTGTCGCCAACGTGGCGAGGTCTGCTCTCGCCACACAGCCTCACTCATCAAACCTCACCTGCCAACGCCTCTGCAGAGGCCACCCGCACACCGCCTCTGGGATGTGAAAGGTCAGGAGGGAAGAGGGAGAAGAAAGCAGGTAACCACGTCAGGTCCAAACTCGGCGACGTGACAGTCTCTACTCTCTTTAACCCTTTGTCACCAGAGTTTGTTTAGGAATACGAGATAATTTTAGCATTAAAATGTTACAGTGATTAAGAAGGTAAGCCTGTGGTTTATATAGAAATAATCCAGACTCCGACCTCTATTTCTACCTTCTATTTGCAAATCCATCTTTCCCTTATATTTCACGTCACTTCTGTGCCCTGTTGCTATAAGCAAAGAAGAGTTGGTTTTGACTATTTCCAGAAACTTGGCTTCACCCACGAGGTAAAACCCACACAGAAGTCTGATCTCACATGAAGAGACTAACACATAGCATGTGGCTTGTCTGCACCGAGCTGGGCTGGATCTGGTGGCCCATGAGCCCAGCCATCAGTCTCTCTGCCTTTGCCTCCTGGTAAAAGCCATGCCACTCCTGGGGCTATGACAAAGATTACCCATGGGGCTAGCCGGTGTACTGGAGGTTAAAGGAGCTGGACCCCAGTGGCCAGCAATCACACAGTTCAAGTCCAGGCCCCAGTGGCTTCTGTGCCTAGTACACTCTGGGCACTTGTAGATGCATGCCCAAAATCCCAAAAAGAGGGAGAAATGGGAGAGAAGGGAACGCGGCATGACCATGTCCCCTCCCTCCCTCTGCCTCTGTCTTTCTCTGGTGAGCACACACACTCAGATCATTCTTTTTTTAAAAAAAGATCAACCATGATATTAAGACATCTTTGTTTCATCCCTTGCCTTTAGGAGGCTGGACCCTCGTAAGGGGGCAGAAACACCTCTGGAGTCTGCGCCCTTGATGGGTACTGCTCGCGCAGAGTCCAAGTTCAGTAAGGGGCAGCCAGCTCCTTTCCAGCTTCTGTGCCTGTACGGAAAGTCTGCCTTCTGTTACTGAGTGCAGGTGATCCAGTAACAGGGAGGGCACCTTCTTAAGGCTTCATGAGTCTGGGAAGATCACACGAGCTTAGCTGCTGGTGGGCCTTTTCTTGAGAGCAAGATACATTATGGAGGTGACAAGGTGGTTTAGGCACGCAGTGGGCTGAGCAAGAGGCACAGAAATCTGCAGGTTTGCGTTCGTCCCCAAACCGCCATGCTCCTTCCTGCTTCAGTCTTTTCCCCTCTTTCATTCCACAGGGAATTACCTCCCCTCCGCCAGCTGGGCAGGTGGGCCCCTCTGCCTGTCAGCCATCCAAGTTCCCCCTTCCCCGTGACGCTCTCTCCGATGTTCCCAGCCACCCCTGTCCCTCCTGAGTTACTCACCTCGCCTCTCAAGCCAGTGTGTGTGTGTGCAAGGTCTTCAGGAAGAGATTGTAGTTGTGCCTCAAGGTCACAAATAGAGCTTGTATCTCCTGTATTCCCAGTGCACTTCTGGGCCTCGCCAGGCCTTCTGTGTCACATAGCTTGCACGTCGTAGGTACAAAATAAACACAAGAGGACTTCAGGAGGTTCGTGGAAGAGTGTAATTAAAGCATGAGTTTATTTTGGTGAAAAAAGATTTTGAAATCCATGCATATTTTCATAATACACATTTTCTATGAACTTTTTGAAGACTCCCTCATACTAAAGTTTA